CCCATTTTCTGTGGCCGTTCGCGGTTCAGTACGCTGCGCATCAGATCAACCTTCAGCCTCGTGTCTCCTTGCCGGAGACCACACCTACTCTGCGGTGGACGGGGAAGGCTGGCGATGCGTCTGTGTTCCGTGTCTGGGGATCTCGAGCTTTTGTCCGCGATTCTTCCGCGGACAAGCTGTCCTCCCGTGCTGTTCCCTGCGTCTTCCTTGGCTTCCCCCCTGATGCGCCTGGGTTGCAGTTTTACCACCCCACCTCGCGTCGTGTTCTGTCCTCTCAGGACGTCACGTTTGACGAGTCGGTATCTTACTACCGTCTCTTTCCCTACCGCACTGCCCCTCTCCCCCCCCCGCCGCTCTTCCTAGCACCAGGTGCTCCTCCGGTAGACCCCCTCCCCCCTCAAGGTCCTGCCCCCTCAGGTGTGTCTCAGGTAGACCCTGTCGAGCCTGTCGAGGTAGCTGTCGACTCTGGTAGTGCTAGGGGTGCTGAGCCTGCGGGTGCGGGGCCTGGGGGTGCTGAGCCTGGGGTTGCTGAGTCTGAGGGTGCGGAGCCTGGGGGTGCTGAGCCTGAGCGTGCGGAGCCTGGGGGTGCTGAGTCTGGGGGTGCTGAGACTGAGCGTGCTGAGCCTGGGGGTGCTGAGCCTGAGCGTGCTGAGTCTGGAGGTCCTCCGGGTGTCTTGTCACGGCGGGAGGCCCTCTCTCCACAGCAGCTGCGCGAGTGGTACGCTCGGCGCTGTAGCCGTGCTGCTGGAGCTGGGGGGCCTACCGCTAGAGGTGCTACTGGAGCTGGAGCTGCTGGAGGTCCTGCTGGTGCTGGAGCTACTGGAGGTGCTGGAGTCGCTGGTCCCGGAGGTGCTCGTACTGGAGGTACTGGAGCTGCTGGAGCTGGAGCTGCTGGAGGTACTACTGGTGCTGGAGCTGCTGGAGGTGCTGGAGCCGCTGGTCCTGGAGGTGCTCGTACTGGAGGTACTGGAGCTAATGGAGCTGGTGGTGCTGCAGGAGTTGGTACTGTTGCTGCTGGAGGTGCTGCTGGTGCTGGAGCTGGTGGTGCGGAGGGAGTTGGAGCTGGAGACCCTGGAGCTGGGGGTACTGGTGCTGTCTCCGCTGGTTCAGGAGGCGCTACGCGACCGCGGCCATACTTCGTTCCCCTCCTTCAGCAGGTTCTTGGTCTCCAGCCTTCTACTGGTCCTACTCCTTCGTTACTGTGTCCACAGCCTGTCCAGTCGCAGTCGCAGTTACAGCTAGCCTCTCCACTGCCTGGTCCTTCTCCTTACTCAGGGCCAACTAGGGGTCTTACAGAGCGTCGTGAGCCTGAGTCTCGTCCTGTCTCGCCTACGTCTCGTCCTACGTCACCAGAGTCGCGTCCTGCGTCGCCTGTTCGCACTGCTCGCACTGGTCGTGTTCCGCGTCTGCATCCTCCTGCTGTCCCAGGCACGCACCAGATGGCACTTCGTCCTTCCACTGCTCCACAGCGTGTCCCTCTGCCGTCTCCTCCTGCGTCCTCTCTTCCAGACATCCCTGACCCGCCGTCAGACCTTTCTCGTGCTGCCAGCCCTACTGTCACGCGTCTTCTCGCTACTTTTGTCACTGACCCTTCGTTTAAGTCCACTGCTGCGTCTGCCCTAGTTGCTGAGCTTGTTGACTTTGCTGCCGCCTGTCGTCTAGACTACGCTGCTAGTCTTGTTGCTGAGTCTGAGTCTGTCTGTCCTCCGTCCGTCGGGGGTGAGTGTGCTCTTGGCACGGACGTCCTTGAGGACAGGCAGGAGGACTTTGAGTGCTTTGCAGCTGCTGTACCTCATCTCGTGTCCATGCTGATTGAACCTGAGGGAGACCCGGATGCACCAGACATCCCGACCCCGCGCTCTTACACAGAGGCGATTGAGGGTCCCTACTCCTCTCAGTGGCAGACAGCCATGGACACAGAGATGGCATCCTGGAAGTCCACAGGCACTTACGTTGACGAGGTTCCCCCACCTGGGGCGAACATCGTCAGTGGCATGTGGATTTTCAGGGTGAAGCGGCCGCCGGGTTCTCCGCCTGTCTTCAAGGCGCGTTACGTTGCACGTGGCTTCAGTCAGCGACAAGGAGTTGAATTCTTCCAGACCTTCTCCCCCACCCCGAAGATGACCACTCTTCGGGTTGTGCTGCATGTCGCCGCTCATCGTGACTACGAGCTTCACTCTCTTGACTTCAGCACTGCTTTCCTACAGGGCAGCCTGCACGAGGAGATCTGGCTGCGCCGCCCACCGGGCTTCACTGGGTCGTTTCCTGCTGGTACCCAGTGGAGCCTCCGGCGGCCAGTCTACGGACTCCGCCAGGCGCCTCGTGAGTGGCACGACACACTGAGGATGACACTTCGCCTGTTCGCACTGCTCGCACTGGTCGTGTTCCGCGTCTGCATCCTCCTGCTGTCCCAGGCACGCACCAGATGGCACTTCGTCCTTCCACTGCTCCACAGCGTGTCCCTCTGCCGTCTCCTCCTGCGTCCTCTCTTCCAGACATCCCTGACCCGCCGTCAGACCTTGCTCGTGCTGCCAGCCCTACTGTCACGCGTCTTCTCGCTACTTTTGTCACTGACCCTTCGTTTAAGTCCACTGCTGCGTCTGCCCTAGTTGCTGAGCTTGTTGACTTTGCTGCCGCCTGTCGTCTAGACTACGCTGCTAGTCTTGTTGCTGAGTCTGAGTCTGTCTGTCCTCCGTCCGTCGGGGGTGAGTGTGCTCTTGGCACGGACGTCCTTGAGGACAGGCAGGAGGACTTTGAGTGCTTTGCAGCTGCTGTACCTCATCTCGTGTCCATGCTGATTGAACCTGAGGGAGACCCGGATGCACCAGACATCCCGACCCCGCGCTCTTACGCAGAGGCGATTGAGGGTCCCTACTCCTCTCAGTGGCAGACAGCCATGGACACAGAGATGGCATCCTGGAAGTCCACAGGCACTTACGTTGACGAGGTTCCCCCACCTGGGGCGAACATCGTCAGTGGCATGTGGATTTTCAGGGTGAAGCGGCCGCCGGGTTCTCCGCCTGTCTTCAAGGCGCGTTACGTTGCACGTGGCTTCAGTCAGCGACAAGGAGTTGAATTCTTCCAGACCTTCTCCCCCACCCCGAAGATGACCACTCTTCGGGTTGTGCTGCATGTCGCCGCTCATCGTGACTACGAGCTTCACTCTCTTGACTTCAGCACTGCTTTCCTACAGGGCAGCCTGCACGAGGAGATCTGGCTGCGCCGCCCACCGGGCTTCACTGGGTCGTTTCCTGCTGGTACCCAGTGGAGCCTCCGGCGGCCAGTCTACGGTCTCCGCCAGGCGCCTCGTGAGTGGCACGACACACTGAGGACGACACTTGCGGCTCTTGGGTTTGCTCCTTCGACTGCTGACCCGTCTCTGTTTCTGCGCACCGACACTTCGCTGCCGCCGTTCTACATCCTCGTGTACGTCGACTACTTTGGTTTAGCCACTGCTGACACTCAGGCACTGGCCCTTGTGAAGTCGGAGCTGCAGAAGAGACACACGTGCACAGACCTGGGTGAGCTGCGCAGCTATCTTGGCTTGCAGATCACCCGGGACAGAGCACGATGCATCATCACCCTGACTCAGTCACACATGGTGCAGCAGTTCCTTCAGCGCTTCGGCTTCCGGTTCTCCTCGCCACAGTCCACTCCTCTGCCTACAGGTCACTCGCTCTCAGCTCCACCTTCGGACGAGTCCATAGAGCCGAGTGGCCCGTATCCAGAGCTTGTGGGCTGCCTCATGTACCTGATGACCTGCACTTGACCTGACCTCGCTTACCCTCTTAGCATCCTGGCTCACTACGTTGCGCCCGGGAGACACCGACCAGAGCACTGGAAGGCCGCTAAGAGGGTGATGCGCTACTTGTGCTGTACATCGGGCATGGGGCTCGTGCTTGGAGGACGGGCTCGAGTTGTCCTCACTGGTCACGCAGACGCTTCTTGGGTTGACGACTTGGCTACGCATCGGTCGTCACAGGGCTACACCTTCAGCCTTGGCTCCGGCTCTGTTTCGTGGCGGTCTACCCGCTCGTCTTCTGTTCTCAGCTCCACTTGTGAGGCTGAGATCTACGCAGGGGCCATGGCTGCACAGGAGTTATGCTGGCTCACCTACCTGCTGACCGACTTGGGCGAGCCGCCTCGTTCTCCTCCAGTTCTGTACGTCGACAACAAGGCCATGATTGCCTTGTGTCACGAGCACAGACTGGAGCACAGGACGAAGCACATCGCTCTGCGCTACTTCCTTGCTTGAGAGCTGCAGCAGCGTGGTCAGCTTCGTCTTGTCTACGTGGCCTCTCGGGCCAACACAGCTGATATCTTCACCAAGGCACTCCAGCCTTGTGATCATCAGCATTTCTGTACTGTTCTAGGCCTTGTGCCTACTTGGCCTCACTTGCTCACTTCTTGACTTTGCTTGTACTGTGATCTCTATACATATATCTGCATGCTTACACTTGCTAGGTTGTGATCACTGTACTGCTTGTTCTCATTTATATAACTCTGCATGTGAACTGGCCTTGTGGCCATTTGCTAGTGCTTAGAATGCGTGGTGTAGTCGTGATCCACCCTGAGCTTGCTTTGCTTTTCTTGACTGGTCTTGTGACCTCTTGTTCTCCCCCACGTTGCCTATGGGGGTGTGTCAAACTTATATGACATAGTCTGTGTAGGCTGTAGTGGGGTAGTCAATATGGGGTACAACACTTTTAGGTTTCCTACTTGTATCCACCTGCTTGCTAATTCGACCATCCTTTCCTTCACATTTCTGCCAAAATGTTCACTATATTACAAATGTTCATGATATTAATTCAATTCTGGCAAAGCATCTCGACTGCCCTAAACTTTTGCCAACTTCGCGCGCCAACCACTGTTGAGTCGTCCATTTGGAAAAAAACGGGACAAGTGACATACCATGCGGTATGCATGCGACGGTGCATGCGTGCTAACGAAAATTCATCCGTACATTAGCGAACATAATTGCCACCCCACAGTTCGAATGGTCAATGATTTGAACCATGGAATGAAAAATGGTGGCACGCTCTTAGACCGCGGTCTTGGAGGTGTACGGCCACCAAAAGGGTTTGATGACACGGTCGCCTAAGAGATGAACCACTCCTCCGAAGGAGAGCAGCCCCCACACGGTCGCCCCTTGCCTCCTCCGGAGACGTGTACCACCGCGCCTCCTCCTCCTCCGCCCTCCCCCACTCTCCCCCTCCGCCTCCTCCTCCGCCTCCCCACTGCATGTCCACTCCCCCTGGTTCAGCTGCCTCTGCCCCTCCAGCACCGGGGATTAATCGCTGCTGCCCTGCAATACCCCGCCCTGCTGATGCTCGCTGTGCCCTCCCTCCCACTTGCCCCTGCGCCAGATGCCCCTGCCCCTGCCCCTGCGCTATCATACCCTCCTCCCCTTGCTCCTGCAGCATTGCCCGCTGCCATGCCTCCGCCTGCTGCTCCCTCCACGTCGCTGCCCCCTCTGCTGCCCCTCCGCCTCCGCCCCCTTCCTCTTGCTGCCGCCACCCCTGCTGCTGCTGCCGCTGTTGCTGCTCCTCCTCCTGTTGTTGCTGCTGCTGCTGTTGCAGCAGCACCTGCCCTACACCACCCCCATCCCCCAACTCCTCTTCCCCCGCCTCCCCCTCCCCCGCCTCCCCGGCTCGCGCCCGCAGAAACGGTGGGTGAAACACCACCCTTCGATGCGCGGACAGGACAAAGCACGCCGGCCGCACGTGGCGAACCACGTGGCCCTGCGTGTGGGCGGCAGCGACCATGTCCACCACCTGCGCGAACAGAAACAGGTTCTCCAACCTATCCACCTCCCTGCCCGCCCGGTTCAACCAGTGCCGCAGCGACAGTAAAGGCTGAGGGGTCAGTGTGGCAGGGTCAACCCTGGGTTGAGGCGCGGCTGCTGGTGGGTCCAGCCTGGGAGGTGGCATGGCGGTTGGTGAGGAGAGGTGAGGGGGCGGAGGGGAGGGGTTTGTTGCAGCGCGGACGGGGGGAAGGGGTGGGGGTTGAAGGGCGGCGGGCGCGGATGGTGTGTGGGGGAGGTGGGGAGGAGGGTGGCGGAGGAAGGGTGGTTGATGCGCGGAGGAGGGGGCGGTGGTGGGTAGAGTGGCTGGGCCGTCTCTGCCTCTCCCAGGCGCACCAGCAGAAACAGCTGGTGCTGCTGCCACTGCTGCTGCTGCCCCGCCTGCTGCTCCTCTCTCTGCCATCCTATGCGTTTGCCTCAGCTGCTGCTGCTGCTGCTGCTGCTGCTGCTGTGGGGGTGGTGGTGGTGGCAGAGGCTCGTGGCGTTGCTGCTGCTGTTGCGGCGGCTGCAGCCATTGCTGCTGCTGCTGCTGCTGCTGCTGCTGCCTGGGGCCTGCCGATGGCGCCTGCGGCCTTGCTGCTGTTGCCCCTGCTGCCCCGCCTGTCGCTGTTACCCCTCCGCCACGACCAGTACCCCCATCACCATCTGCAACAGCAGCGCCAGCCACCCTTCTGCCACCACCAGCGCCACCTGCGCCACTGCCTGGCTCATTGCCGCCCTGCACTCTCCCCCCTTCCCCCGCCATCCGTTGCTCCGCCTCCCCGCCTCCCATCTGCCTCACTTCCCCCTTCCCCCCTTTCCCCCCTCTCGCTACCCCACACACCACCGCCAAACGACTCCCCTGCCCCGCCCTGCCCCTCCCTCCCCCCTTTCCCCTCCCCATCTCCTCCCTCTCCGTCTCCCGCGCCCTTCCCCCTCCCCCCTCCCCCTCCGCCTCCCCCTTCCCCCGCGCCTCCGCCACTCCCCTCCGACTCCTCAGTCTCGTCCAGCGAGCTCCCCGTACGCTCTCCCACGCCTGCGCCCATACCCCCCGCGCGGGAGGGCGCGCAGACGTTGGAGTTGCTGCGCAGCCCCTCCTCCGCGCGCCCCCCAAGTTGCTGCGTCGAAAAGAGGAACGGCCCCGTCACAAGCACACGCTCTGAGGGTACAGCAGGCGCGGGATACGCCCCATGCGCCCCATGCGCCCCATGCGCCCCATGCGCCCCATGCGCCCCATGTGCCCCCCAATGCACCCCATGCGCCACCCTTGCTCCCTCGCGCTCCCCCCAGCCCGTTTCTCCTGCCTCCTCCTCAAAACCACCATTACCACCACCATAACCATCACCACCGCCCGCAGCACCAGCCACACCAACATTACCACCTGCAGCAGCGCCAGCAGCCGCACCCCCTTGCTGCGCCCTGCGCCAGATTTCCGCCTGCACAACCGGGTGGAACCACCCCTCCGCCACCCGCGCAGGCTCACCCACCAGTGGCCTTGCGGCACCCATCACTGCTGCCCGGTTCTCACCTATCATTTGCCCCCACCCCGCAGCAACTGGCTCGTTCCACACCTCCGCGCCCATGCCCTCTCCCCCGTCATCCCGCCCCTCTCCTTGCTCCCACCCCGCTTCCCCTTCCCCCTCACCCTCCGCCGCCCCCTCCGCCTCCGCCCCTGCCTCCTCACCAGCCCCTTCGTCCACATCGCTGCCAGCCCGCCTTGCATCCGCGCGCGCAACCCCGTCCCCCAGCACGTCCCGCCGCCACCCCCCTACCGCCACCCGCTGCGCCGCCTCGCCTCTCACGCCGCCTGTGGGGGAAACTGCCCGCACTGGCGCTGCTGGCGGTGCTACCGCTGCTGCTGGCACTGCTGCCGTCGGTGCTCCTGCTACTACAACTGGAGACGATATTATCCTGCCAGCTGTATCCGCTGCCTGCTGCCCCACCTGCCCCTGTTGCCCCCGCCACCCAGCCGCGGCCCCAGCTACCGCCCACATCCTCTCCTGTCCCCCGCCACCCCCTGCGCCCGCCACACCCGCGCGCCCGTCCGCCCCCAGCGCTCCGCCCCGCCCCCTGCCTCCCCCGGGCGTCCCCCTATTAAGCTGCGCGCGCATGTCCCGCTGCAGCAGGCGCAAGTACTGGCGCTGTAGCTGGCGCTGCTGCTGCAGAAGGTCCACTCCGCCATGCGCGCCCTCCGCGCCCTCCCCGCCTCCGCGCATCAGCAGCGAGTGCTGCGCCGCTGCCAGCATCTGCCTGTGCTGCTGCAGCAACCGCTGCCGAATGCTCGCGCCCTCCCCCTCATGCTCCCCCCCTGCCTCCTCCCCTTCCTGCTCCCCCTCCTGCTCCCTCTCCTGCTCCTGCGCCTGCTCTTGCTCCTGTGCCTGCTCCTCCCCTTCTTCCTCCTCCCCTGGCTCCCCATGTTCCCCCTGTTCCCCATGTTCCCCCTGTCTCTGCACGCGCGCCTGATCCTGCGCCAGCTTCCGCTCACCCTCCCCCGGCCATCCTTGCCCAGCCCCTTGCCCCTCATATTGCAACCCCCCCAACCCCGCAATTCCACGCCTCTCCTGCTCCCCGTTCCATGCCCCGCCGAACCCCATCTCACCCATCGCGCCTGCAACGCCCTCTCCGCCTTGCCGCTCCGTCCGCGCGCGCTTCCTACGCGCCTCGTTGTCCTCCCCCCCGTCCCCCAGTCCCTCGTCCCCACCCGCCGGTAGCCATTGCGTTTGCCCGTTCCCCTCGCCCACCCCATCCGCGAATCTCACTGCTCCCGCGCCTACGCTTCCGCCTTCCGCCCCACCGCCCGCCGCGTGCGCGCCAGGCGCAGCCCGCAGCACCGCGCCCATCAGTCTCACGCGCTCTCGCACCAACCCGCCTTCCGCTCCACCACGGCTGGCGGGGGGCAGAGCCGGAGGGCGCATGGGGCGCGCGCGGAGATCGGAGTCTGCGCCACTGCGACCTTCCCCCGGCTGGGACTCTCTCACGTGCTGCTGCGACGGATCCATGTCCATAGGTGCGTAAGGTGCTGCGTCAGGTGCCACGTCAGGTGTGTCAGGTGCCGCGTCAGGTGCTTCAGGTGCCACAAATTGATCAGCTGCGTCAGCCCTTATCCCACCCAGTGCGTCCCCTCCACCCTCACCGACTACAGCGGATCGTCGACCGATGAAAGTAAATACCCGTTCGCCCTCTGCCCCTCCTGCCGCCTCTCTTCCCTCCGTACCCACGCCTGGCGCAGCTGTGGCAAGCGGGAAGGCGGAGGCGGAGGCAGCGGCGGAAGCGGAAGCGGGAGCGGGAGCGGGAGCAGAAACGGGAGCGGGAGCGGGAGCGGGAGCGGGAGCGGGAGCGGGAGCGGGAGCGGGAGCGGGAGCAGAAGCGGGAGCGGAAGCCGTAGCAGCGGCGGCGGCGGCGGCAGCGAGATCGTGCTGCTGCTGGCGGCGCCACTGACTGAGCAATACCTCCTGCTGCTGCTGCCGCTGGCACTTGCTGCGCTGCTGCTCCCGCTGCACGTGCTGCCGCAGCAGCTGCCGCGACAGCGACCCCTCGCGCGGAGCTACGTGGTTGATGTTGCGCATCCGACGGGGAAGCGGCGGGCTAATGCGGCGCGCGGGGGGGTCGGGCGGCGGAGCGGAAGAGAGTAGCGCGGGGGAGAGCGTGGAAGTGGCGGAAACCAGGTGATGCGCGTTGCCATGGGGATCGGCGGGGAGACATGGTGGGTCGTCGGACGGCGGGGAGGGGGACTTGGGAAAGGACGAACTAGGGAGGTTGCGCAGGGACGGGAGAAGCGTGATTGGCGCGGGGGGGGGTTGCCCCGCAGAGGGCAGTTGCGCGGCGTGGGAGGGGGGAGCCAGAAGAGTGACCGGGCGGAGGGAGGAGGAGGGGGGGGCGGGGACAGCGGGGGAGGCAGGTCGAGTGGGGGAATTGGCGGATGGCGGGGTAGGCGAGCGGGACGAAGGCATGTGCTCGACACGCGCGAGAAGACCGGTCAGAAGAAGGCCCACTGCTGGGCCCTCGATCAACTGTGAGAAGCGCCGAAGGTCCGAAAGTAAAAACAATGTAAATGGTTATTGTTAATCGCGAGAAGTTGCCATTCACTTCGTTCGACCTGCCGGCAACGAAGTCTAACGGCCGGGCTTTCCCTGGACTATGCGGCTGTCTGCAACGTCGGGTTAACGTGATCGCTAGCTCAGAGTCGCAAAAGCAGTCAGCCTTGGGATCGGGTTCAGTGTCGCGTCATCCTACCGAGGCTACCTATACGGCTGCACCCGGCGTGGCGCAAGATCGCGACGGCGGTTCTTTTTGTACAATATTGTACTGTATCAACTGAACAAATTCTCGTTGATTTCGCCAGCGATAGCCGCACAAAGTTCCCCGTTGGTGCCGTTCAATGCTTCGACAACCAGACCAAGAAGAAAAAGCTGACTGAAAGCGAGAGTGACGCGTGACAGTAGAATGGCCTGTAAAACAATCTGAGGTAGCTTTGCTTCATTGCAGGTCCTCCAGTTGAGGCTTTGGACTCTCACACGCAAACCCTCACATCACAACTTCACAATTATTCCATTCTGTACTAGAAGATATTAGTTGGGATTTGAAACACTAGACACCTTACAAACCTAACCCTAAAAAACGGTTCCTGGATCTCAACCAAGGAACGATCGAGAGACGTGGCACTGAGCGCATCTCTAGGAACTCGTGGTTGCTGTTGCTGCTGTGCTTCTGCTCAGCGGGTGAGACAGACAAACAAGCAAACCCTTCACTCACTCATGGCAGCTTCTGCTGCTCATTCAAGTGTTGCACTAGGAGCCATGTTTTTGGCTCCGTAACATGAACCAAATCCCTCTGGCCCTAACGGGTGGCTCTGGTGGCTACACCGTCGAATCTTTCGCTCACGGCCACGTATAGATGGATCGAACGCTCTACCGTTCCGCCACAATTCGCATTCTCATGCTGCCACGCGGCTGCCCCACTCACCTCAGAACCGCCGCCGGGAGCTGCCTACAGAGTGTATGATGAACCTTAAAGGCGGGGTGCAATTTCTTAGGAACAGTAGGGGGACAAAAATGGCATGTGAGTAACTTGAATTCTATTGGACGAAAAAACTGGAAAACAAGAAGAGGACAAACTTCTCGGCTCTGAACTGCCTGGGTCAACCTCTTCCAAGCTATAATACTTTGAAGTTGAAGTTGATAGTTGGGCCACGGCTTTAAAAGATTGAGAATAGATCCCAGCAGAGAAAATTCTGCACAGTATATTCCTGTTAAACTTCAGCCTCATATCACAAGCTGATAGTTTTCTACCTGGAAGAACCATCCAGACTAACAACTTGTACAGTAATTCCTACACTACTGATGATTCTATCTCCACTCAGGTAGCTCTGCTGATGCCTTTTTTTACCCTATTGAAAGAATACAGAACCGGAAAACTAGCATAAGCACAGCTTCCAACCGTGACCCCCCTACACTGAAAGACTTTGTTGCTTGCCCGAATCTTCCTATCTTCGCAGTGTGACAAAAAAGAACAAGAAAGCCCTGCCGTAAAGTCGCCGCTTCACGAATCTGATATTTCCCCCTCGCGTGCGAAATCATTCCTTTGTAGGACTTTTGTGGGGCTCTCCTTCGTAGCCATCTTGTGGCTGAAAATGGTTGTACCTCCTCCCAGTAAAACAGGACCTTAATGAAATTGCGTAGGATTTCTACGTAGCCGCCCTAGCTCAGTTGGTAGAGCGCAAGGCTCTTACCCTTGTGGTCGTGGGTTCGAGCCCCACGGGCGGCGATGTTAAGATTTCCCGAGGTGTGGGGTGTGACTCGTCAGAGCTTTTGTCCCCCTCACTTGGCTCAGTGAGGACATGACCGTTTCTCATTAGTACTAGGTGCTATGCTTCTTCCGGCAACATACTGAATGATGTTATTGATCAGTCGGTGGTCACCAACCACTCTCGACTCTAGTCGCGCTACTGCACAGCAGACAATCCACTCCATCATGCTGCACCGTGCCAACCCTGCCAACCCTGCCAACCCTGCCAACCCTGCCAACCCTGCCAACCCTGCCAACCCTGCCAACCCTGCCAACCCTGCCAACCCTGCCAACCCTGCCAACCCTGCCAACCCTGCCAACCCTGCCAACCCTGCCAACCCTGCCAACCCTGCCAACCCTGCCACCCTGCCAACCCTGCCAACCCTGCCAACCCTGCCAACCCTGCCAACCCTGCCAACCCTGCCAACCCTGCCAACCCTGCCAACCCTGCCAACCCTGCCAACCCTGCCAACCCTGCCAACCCTGCCAACCCTGCCAACCCTGCCAACCCTGCCAACCCTGCCAACCCTGCCAAACCCTGCCAACCCTGCCAACCCTGCCAACCCTGCCAACCCTGCCAACCCTGCCAACCCTGCCAACCCTGCCAACCCTGCCAACCCTGCCAACCCTGCCAACCCTGCCAACCCTGCCAACCCTGCCAACCCTGCTGGACCCAGTTGGGCGCCCCTCTGTCTGTTCATCTCGAAAGAACCATGATGCCACCGTTTCACCTTCTGCACTGCCTTTGCTCCACACGAGGGGCTTGAGGCATCACATCGCGTGGAATATGCAGATTTGACACTGAGTAGCCAGCTTCACATGCGGACAGCTAGAATCATAGGAGATTCACCTTACACCTACTCTCCCCCTCCTGCAGCCAATCACAAGGCTCTTCCTCCTCTCCCCTGCCTGTGCCTGTGCCCTCTCCCACTGCTGGTCCTCCATGAACAGTGACACTGCCGCCCGCACGTCGCCGCCCGCCTCGCCCAGGTAGTACTGCGCTGTTGGCTCGTCCACCTGAAGGGCTCTTTGCAACAGAGAAACCACCTGCGCAGTGCCATGTGCTGCCGAGGGTCTGAGAGAGGGAGGGAGTGTGTGGAACAGGTGGAGTTGCACAGCAGAGCAACCTGACAATCGAGTCTCCTAAAAAAAACAAAAACACCTGCGCAGATTCACGTGCGGCCGAGGGTCTGATCTGAAGGTGGGAGTGTGACGAGTAGATGGAGTAGCAGAGGGAATAGGGGAGAGATGGTGCGATGGTGTGATGTCATGATGTCATGATGTCAGGGAGAAGGATAGACACACAAGAAGAAACTAGGAAGGGAGCCATGATAGTCTTAGCACATGCTTGAGCATGACAATGTATGACACCCAAAACATGTGATGTGTCACCAACATCATGGCTCGCAAAATTCAAGTCAAGTAACGACACGTTAAGATAGAATGACAAGAAACGAGTACAGTTCACCATACCCCGTAGACATCCCCACCTACTTGTCCTTAAGTGCACCCTCCCTTTCCTCTCTCCCTCCTCCTCCTCCCCTCTCCCCCCATACGAATACCAACACAGCCTACAACAGAATACCATACTTGACCAGGACAATCAAACTCAATTCTTTAAAGTAGATGCACTCCCACAGTATCATTAGCTTATTACTATCACTCTCACTATAAGCACCTGTTGTTCCGTGCCTCTCCATACGATCGCCGAATCTCCCCCTCGTCCCCCTCTTGGAACACCAGCAGCACCTCCCGCCGCGCGTGCGAATCAAACTGGACGGCGCAGTGCCGCCGCACCAGCTCAGCCGGGCGGCGCGAGGGGGGGATGGGGATGAGGAGGCGCGTGCGCGTGTGGATGGCATGGTCGCTCATGATGTTGTTGAGCCGGCGGATGTCCATAGCCTGGAGGGGGTGAACACATCCACGGGGAAGGAAGCACATATGCATGGGCACGGGAAGCACATGTGCATGGGCACGGGAAGCACATATGCATGGGCACGGGAAGCACATGTGCATGGGCAGGGGAAGCACATATGTATGAGCCGTGAGGGCAGGGCATGGTCGCTCATGATGTTGTCGAGGGAACGGATGTCCATGGCCTGGGGAAAGACAAAGCGTGCACATGGGATACACATGTATAGGGATCACAAATGCACGCGCAGCACACATGCACGAGTGACGGAGTCGGTGCGGGCACGTGATGGTGTCAATCTCAAACATCCCACGTGGCAGCACCATCAGGATGCCACGTGTCAGCGTGACCCACCTGCACGTGGAAGCGCACTGCCAGGCTGGCAATGGAGTCGGTGCGGCCAATGGGGTGCGAGAGAGCGAACTCCGGCGAGGCGAGGAGCGAGAGAAGGGAGGGGGGGCCACGGCGGGCGGTGCGAGGAGTGGGGGACGAGGGGAGGGGAGGGGGGTGGGAGCGGGCACAGGAGCGCACTGCAGGAGCGGAAGCAGAATGGAGGAGAGGGGATGATAGCTTATCCCCCTTTGCCTCTGGCACTGGTGCTGCTGTTACAGCTGGTGCTGGTGCTGATGCTGCTGCTGCTGCTGCTGCTGCTGCTGCTGATGCAGATGCTGATGCTGGTGCTGATGCTGATGCTGGCGTTGGTGGTGCTGGGGCAGCGGAGGGGGGGAGGCGCAGGGAGAGCAGGCGGTGGGAGCGGCAGAAGGCAGCACAGCACAGCGAGGGGTCCAGGGCGAGCGGGGCGCCAGCGGCGGCACACAGCCGCCACACGGGGGAGGTCAGCCTGACGGAACATCAAGGAAATGGGCGGGAGGAGAACAGCATGGTGACAGGGATGAAGGCAGAGCAGCACAGCGAGGGGTCGAGGGCGAGCGGGCGCCAGCGATGGCACACAGCCGCCATGCGGGGGAGGTCAGCCTGGCGGGTAACACAGGGTGGGTGAGGGGCAGCAGGGGGTGGGGGACACAGGGTGAACAGCGCAGCACAGAGAGAGTTCCAGGGCGAACGGGGGCAAGTGGCGACACAGAGCCGCCTCCACATGGGGAGGCCAGCCTGACGGGTCTCACAGAGGGGAAGGGGGGACAGAGGGGGGAGGGGGGGGGGATGGGGGGAGGGGGGGAGGGGGGATGGGGGAATTGGAGCGCGATGAGATTACTCACGGCAGTCTGTAACGCGTTGCATAAAGCAGCAGTGGCATACAGCCACCACATGGGGGAGGTCAGCCTGGTGGAGGGAGTCGACTCAAAAATCGACTCACTACACGCGGATTATATGTGGAGAGGATTTTTTGTTGCATGGCAAATTGGTTGTAACCTTAACAGGTTACTGGTACGCGCGCGACTTCCACAGTTGCTGCCTGGCGAGGATGCGAATTCGAACTTCAACGACGACGCTCCAAGGATTGAGGACGTGGCCACCTGAGAAATTTTCAAGGGTGACATGTACTGGTCCCCGTATTTCGGGCTGACCTGGTGTAGATAACCTAGAGATCAGTTTTTCTGAGGCTTCGTTTCTTCTTGAAGCGTAGCTTAGCTCTGTTTCTTTCATTAGCACTGATGAAGGCCTGCTAGGGTAGCCCCTTAACGGCCGAAACATGTTTGTTTTACTCTACTGCTGAAGTTCTTGAGCTCGGATTGTTGAGATCTAAGTTTTACAGAAGGGTTTTTACTGTCTATCTTTTGCTTTAAGCCTGAATAAGTTTGCTGCTCGCTGAGAACATGTCCCAAGACCAGTTGGCACTTACGCTTGACTCAGACGACGCCGAACTTAACGAGGGCAGTTCTGCTATTGTGATCCACGAGGCAGTTGTTCCCAAGACTTACGCGGGGTATCGCACGCACAAGCGACAACGCCTTCGTGAACTTGAAGGAGCAAATCGTACTGCACCAACTCGCGGACCGACATCGCACAACGAGCAAACAATTTCTCCTCCCGCCATGGAGTTGAATCCCGCTTCGAACGCTGCTCCTGCGGTAGCACCTGCTGTTGCTTCTACGAGCGCTAACCCGGCTGTTCCTGAGCAGTTCAACATTCCTGAGCGCTTTAAAGGCTGGACTGCTTTGGCGGTCAAGGGTTTTCGGGCGGATTTCAAATTACTTTTGAAGGCGAAGTCCAAGCTTCAGAAGATGAAGACGCTTGATGAGCAGGGTGTGATTCTTCACAGTATTCGCACCAAAGCAGTTGAGTTCCAGACAAAATACCCTTCTGTTCGGGAGAAGTCTGCAGCTTCGGTTGCTGCTGTTCATCTGGAGAATCAAAAGCGTATCCAGAAGGACTTCATCGCTTCGAAGGAGATGGAGGTCGAGGAGATTTTGGCGGCTTCTAACCTGCACGTGACGACTCTGGCGACAAAGCTTGAGGACTACCTGAAAAGTCTCTCGGAGAACCCTGACCTGGCGGTATCTGATGCTATCAGGGAGAAGTACAGGAAGATCAAGGGGGCCTGCATCGAGAAGGCGCAGTCCGACATAGCCATCGCCAGGGATGAGATCATCATCCAGGAGTTGGAACGGCAGAAAAAACGTGAAGCTGAAGATTTGAAGAAAGCTGCCGCGGCTGAGGAGATCGACAGAATGGAGCTGGATCCGACGGTCGACGCAATCGTTCAGAAGCACGTAAAGAAGGTCGAAGATCGGCTTCGCAAGGAGTTCGCGGCGAAGCTGGACAAAGAGCTATCTGCGAAGCTTCAGAAGATTGCGTTGGAGAAGAAGGTCTCTCCGTCGGCCACCGCCGCTGACTCTAAGCCCCAGAACAACAAGGCGAAGAAGAAGCGGGGGAAAAAGAAGAAATCTGACGCTCCTACCGACGGCAAGGGGAAGGGCCAAGCAGCACCGAAGCAGGCCTGGGTTCCAAAAAACGGAGGCAGCGGCCCCGCAAACGGGCCGCCAAAGAAGAAGTAACGGCGCGGGATCTCGCGCTTCTTTGGTTCGGCCGTTTGACTTCACGACAAGCCATGTCGCGGGTCCGAAACAACGGAGTGCATAACCTGAGTGCTAAGGTTTTAACGACCGAATGAGCGACGAGCACTCGGGATGGGATTGAAGTTCGTGCCAACGCCTACCAGGAGCCCTTCCATCGAAGCAAACCTCGATCAACTGCATCGACGGATTTCTCTTCATTTTTTCTTCAAGGATAAAGGGGATTCATCTGAGATGTCACGCTTCCGTGTGCGCAACCCAGATTGGAAACCCGATCGGGATGCTGTCCCGGAGTCGGTTTTCAGGGAGGCCCACAACGACCTCTCTTACCTTCTGAAAGCGACGACGCCACGGCGGGGTTTCAATATCTCGTCAGGAATTCGCAAGGCGTTGCGCTCCCTCGCCGCCGACCGCAACATCGTCATCAAACCTGCAGACAAGAACGTTGGCGTCACTATCCTTGATCGGCAGCACTACATCGACCTTTGTATGGAACATCTCGGAGATGCGGAAGTGTACCAGCCGATTGAACGCAACCCGACGCCACGGGTTCTGCAGCAGCTACGGGAGTTGAAGGTGACGTGGGGACCGGCTTTTCCAGACAGTCTCTGGAAATATTTCTTTAAGGAACCACCCGGGGGATGGCGGCCAGCTGCGTTCTACGTCTTGCCTAAGCTTCACAAGAAAGTACCCGTGGGGCGACCGATCGCTGCCTCACATTCATGGGCCACGACTAATGTGAGCAAGTGGCTTGACGCTGAACTTCGCCCGCTGGTCTTGAATCGTCCTACGTACCTCCGGGATTCTCTCTCTCTGCTGACAACGCTCGAACGCACCACGTTTCCGACGACGGTACTTCTAGCGACGTATGATGTAGCCGCTCTCTACCCCAGCATTTCGATCGAGCGCGGTCTTGATGCGGTCAGCAGTTTTCTGATGAGGGAGAAACCGCAACTCACCCCACCTCTCATGGCCCTTCTGGGTTGGGTCATGAGGAACTCTTTTGTCGAGTTCGGCGGCCGGATCTTTCACCAACTACGAGGCACCGCCATGGGTACACCTGTAGCAGTCTGCTTCGCGATCCTGTTCATGAGCCGCCTGGATGAGTTACTGAAGGGGAAGTGGACCGGAACGTTACCTCTTTACCATGTGCGCTACATCGATGATGGTCTAATCGTATGGCCGGGGACGCGGGCAGATTTGGAAGCCTACCTGCGCACCTTCAATGAGCTTGATCCAAACATTCGGATCACATGGTCTGTTTCGGACTGCTCCATCGATTTTCTGGACGTGGTTCTCTTCAAGGGACCGCGGTTTAAGGAGCAGGGTACTTTGGATTTCGGCACGTTTCAGAAGCCGATGAATAAGTATCTCTATCTTCCCTTTGCTTCCTTCCACCCACGGCACTGCAAGGAATCCTTCATTCGCACAGAATTGAAGCGGTACCTGCTCCGCTCTACATCAGCTGCGACTTTCCTCGCAACGAAGAAGGCTTTCTTCGGCCGGCTTCGTGACCGTGGTTACCCTCCTGCTTTTCTGCACCCAATCTTCCAAGGCGTCACCTTCGCTCACCGTTCGTCACTCCTCGCCACTACCATCGCTAACCAGGCGCTCCGGCAACAGATTTCTCTCCCATCCCGTGGACCCCTAGTTCTGAAGACGCAGTACACTTCGGTGTCTGCTCGTCTCGGGCTAGGGGTCCTTTTGAGTCGACTCAAAAATCGACTCACTACACGCGGATTATATGTGGAGAGGATTTTTGTTGCATGGCAAATTGGTTGTAACCTTAACAGGTTACTGGTACGCGCGCGACTTCCACAGTTGCTGCTTGGCGAGGATGCGAATTCGAACTTCAACGACAACGCTCCAAGGATTGAGGACGTGGCCACCTGAGAAATTTTCAAGGGTGACATGTACTGGTCCCCGTATTTCGGGCTGACCTGGTGTAGATAACCTAGAGATCAGTTTTTCTGAGGCTTCGTTTCTTCTTGAAGCGTAGCTTAGCTCTGTTTCTTTCATTAGCACTGATGAAGGCCTGCTAGGGTAGCCCCTTAACGGCCGAAACATGTTTGTTTTACTCTACTGCTGAAATTCTTGAGCTCGGATTGTTGAGAAGTTTTACAGAAGGGTTTTTACTGTCTATCTTTTGCTTTAAGCCTGAATAAGTTTGCTGCTCGCTGAGAACATGTCCCAAGAGGGGGGGAGGGGGGATGGGGGAATTGGAGCGCGATGAGATTACTCACGCCAGTCTGTAACGCGTTGCATAAAGCAGCAGTGGCATACAGCCACCACATGGGGGAGGTCAGCCTGGTGGAGGGAGGGACAAGGGAGTGCGGTGGAGAGTGGTGAATACATGGACGGCAGCAGAGCCGAAAGTGCGGGGTAGGAAGCGGTGGAGTGGAGTGGAGATGGGTGCGGCTGGAAAAAACGAGAGCGAGCAAGAGTGGAGATGCGCGGCTGGGCCATGAGGGAGGGTAGACTGTTGGAATGATTGAAGGTGACTGAGAGATGGAGTGGGGGATGAGACGAGACAGAGAGGGGCGGAAGGGGGCAAAAACTTCGGGTGAGGAGAAAAGCGCGAATTTGGGGAAGGGGAGGAAGGGCGGAGGACTGGGTTGGGACCAAGTGTGTTGGAAAGGAGGCTGGGGGAGTTGGGAGTGGGGTGAGAAGGATTACCACGGCAAGAAAAGCTTAGTGTGGCACGCACTAGGAAAGGGTGGAATGGAATGGGGTGGAGGCAGGGGAAAAAAAACTTTAGGGAAGAAAACGGAAGAAAAACAGCAACTAACACTCTGACTCGATATAAGCTTACCACGCTCAGACGGCTGAAGATTTGCCGTAACACTTCCTCAGGAACCTCGTGCACCCTTTGTGACGCCGGCTCTTTGTTTTCCAGTAGCGAGGACGATGGTGCTGAGGCTACTAACGGAGCAGTATGTAACGAATCGGCCCATAAGGGTTGTGTGGATGGTTTAGATGGACCGTATGAGCCGCTGCCGCACTTTAATTCACCAGATTCAGTAACTGACCGTTCTTGTCCTCGCTTCTGAGAAACTCGATAATTGAGGTGATGTGTGGAACGCGGCACGTACTATCGAAGCCACTCTGCATGCCGGTGGTGCTCGCGAACTTGCCACTACTCTCGATATTAGAACTTGTTTTTACAGTATCAGTGAAGCAAAAGTCGAAGGATGAACTGGAAGGAAAGCACCCCATTGGCTGAGACCGCTGCTGCTGCTGCTGCTGCTGCTGTGCTACTGTACGCTCTTCCACTGTTTCTATTTCAGGACGTTGGTACTGCTGCTGCGTCTTTCCCTGCACTAAGCGACCGAGCGGGAGGGTAGATTCAATCTGCCGGACATCCTGCCGTTCGTTTGTACTATCGTCGTGCGATTGCGTAGGCGACTGATCGTGCGATACCGCGTGCGACTGCGCGTCAAGGCCTTGCCAGCGAATTTCAAATAGAGAAACGAGCGACGGCGCGGTAGGATGGGAAGCAGAAGCATGACAGGCGGCAGGAGACATCGCGCGACAAATTCTGCGACGACTTTGTGAACGTCGGCTGGGTCGCAGGGGGAGGCGAGGGAGGGACGGGGACGCACTTGAAGCTGATAGGGAACTTTGCGGGTGGAGGGGCGCGGAGAGTAGAAGGGGGGTACCAAAGGTATATGGAGTCAGAACGGAATTCGGGAAGGGTTGCAGCGAGAAACACGGAGCACCAATAGCGTCGGAGTTCCCCAGGCGTAGAGTGTAGTCGTCTGCGTAGGCGTCGAATAGAAACGAAGAGCGAAATTGATGGGCGAGTGGGTGATGGTGATGGATGGATGTTAGCGAACACGTCGCGCGCTCCACCTGTCGCATTCATTTTTCTTCGCAGTTGAATGTCCATCGATTTGGAGTATGTGATCTACACCCACAACTTGCATTGTTAATGAATCACTAGAGGCACTAATATCTTTGATAAATACTGTCATTATGTACACAAGTAGATCAGATTTCATGCACACGAAACACACGCTTGACAGATGCCAATATCGATACAACAACGCCATCAGCGCATTGAAGCTTAAAATCAATTTCCTCCTTTCGATTACGGTATTGAACGCACAAATCT